GCTTCAGATGTAATCTACATACCCACTTGGGTGCCTTGTGAACCAAGTTAGGCTGCTGCAGCTGTGGAGGATTTCAAATCCTTCAATCCAAACGCAGCCTTAGTAACTTTGTAACTATATATTTGGTAACAAGTAAAAGCAAGATAAGTATTAAACTCAAACAGTGATTCGAATGAATTTAAAAGAACATAGCATTTACCTTCCGCAGGAGACCATGTTGGTCGAAAACCTACACGCAAGTGCACGTATCGTACAAGTAATATAGTGGACAAAAAGTCCGGATATCGAACCCACAGGGAATATTTAATTATCTAATCCTAGACGCTAAATTCTACCAATTGTTATCAAGCCCACCCTACACAGTCGAAAAAGGATTAATAAGCGAAATTCAACTAAAGCAATTAAAACGACAAAAAACAAGAAAGCAATTAAAACGAAGATTTATCAGAGTAAACGAGCCTAGGATTTTATTCTTCCCCCTATGTGATTATTATTCCCCCAATTCCTTCAATTATGCAAGCAATTAACCCGGATTATTAACCTGAGATGCTAAAATAATCATAACCCGCTTCCGCGTGTATTACAATTCTAATATTCTAGATTCAATTACTATATTCCTATGCAATTAATTCTAGAACACAGCATTAAGCACAAATCTCAATAATGGCTACCTAAGAGATTAACTATATTCCTATGTTAATACCACAAAAGGCTCTTCTACCACAGTTCTAGATCTTCCGATTCATGCGATTAACAATAACATAAAAGCGCATAAAGTGGCCAGTTTCATGAACTTTATAAAACAAGTAGAAGAAACAATCCGGAATTAAAACTTGCATAAAATCATAGAAAATGGTTCATAAATCCCACATAGGGTTCCAAATAAAATCCTAGAAATAAGAAATTTAGCTACTCATGATTAAAGGAAAAACACAAATAAAATAAGTCATAAACGATAAATTTATGCTTAGAATCTTCGAATTCTTCGTCTTCGTTATTGCTTTGTTGCTCTCAAAATTGCGTAAAAAAGATCCCTAATTGTGTGCTTGGATTGGTCTTATATAGGGTGAAGAACTTGGGGAAGAAGGCAGTTTCCTTGTGCAATTAAAATCCCTTTACTGCGCAACTTCGGGGTATGGGACGGGGTCCCATAATTTGCACTAAAACTGGGACGGGGTCCGAGCTTTGTTTCTTCAGAATTTTGATATTTTCACTTTTGACCCATATTTTCGCCAAAATTGCAGTTTTGACCCCATACTTTTCCAATTCTTCAATTTGTACCTAAAATACAATAAATCAACTTTTTAAGCACCAATTATCATTAAAACACACCAAAAGCCCAAATAAAAAGGTACGATAAAGTGTAAAAATATACACTTAACAGACCACCATCGAGCTTTTACGACACAATAAAAAATACTCGGTCAGCTTTCCACTTTGAATTTTACAAATGTATAAGTTTTCTTCTCATTCAAATGTTCAAGCGAGACAGCGACACCTACTTAACACTTTGGAATTAAGGCAATAAATAATCACATAGAATAACCAGCTTGAAAAGGACGATTTTGCTTAGCCAATTGACTGGCTGTTGGGAAAGAAGGCTTTGAGGACAGCTTATAAGCTTGATTTTCAGACTTTACATTATTCACCATGTCATTATAAAACGTTAACCCTGCAGAAATATAGGCCTCCCCCTAAACCGGAGTAATCACAGATTGCTTCAAACGCACCCGAGTAAAATTGAAGAATTTTGGGTTCATATGGGTTTCGGTTTTTTTATTGTTCTAATTAATTTTATTGTTTGGCCGCCCGCTTCTGTTCCGGGTAATTACGAAAATCACCTGTCAGTAGTTTTGGGTTCACATGGGTTTACGTTCCTTCATCTCGTAATTAAATTTATTTGTTTGTTCCAAAAGCGGGCTGTTTCGATTTTGGGTTCATATATGGGTTTCCGTTCCTTCATCTCGTAATTAAATTTAGAGCTAAATACAGTTTGCACCCCTGTACTATCACCACTGTCGCATTTACCCCCTGAACTATGAAATGAGACAAAACACCCCCTGCCGTCCATATCTGTTACAAAAGCCGTCCCTTTCAAATGTTGACTGACGGTTGAAGTAGCCTTTGGAAAAAAATTCACCAAAACACCCCTCTAATTGTCTATAAAATGGGTGCATCATTCTTCACTCATTTGTACTCAATTCCTTCCCAATTTCTTCCAAATTTTCATTTTCAACCCCTTTTTTTAACCCAAAATTTCTGAAAAAAAAATTATATTCTAGAAATTATTATTGTTTTTTTAAAATTCATAATTAATTGGTTTTAAAATGTCTTCCGTTAGTTCAAAAAATTCGTGTTTTTGGTCCGAAATAGAAACCCAAGGGATGCAAGTTTCTACAATGGATTGAGCCTGAAATATGTGAGAATGGTCTCGAGATTGGGCAAGGATTTCAAAGATTTTTGGATACAAAAAAGAAAAATCAACATGTTAGAGGCTGCCAATGAAACACTGAAGTTGAACAATGAGAAACTCCATGAGGTAGCTCTCAATTTGACCAGAACCAACACTGAAATGATGATGAAGATGCAAGGCATGGAAGAAAAACTCAAAATATTAGAACATGGAGCATCCAACTACAAGAAGATAATTAGAATCCAAGTTCTTTAACCATATCTAGTAGTTCAAAATACGACATTAAATCGGGTTCAATATTCTGCACAATTGAAACCATTCTCCCAACATAATCAAAATAACTATCAAACCTTCCTCCACGATTAATTCGAAAGGTAAAAAGCGTATCTAGCATTTTAACCTGCATAAAAACATGAAAAAATGTGAATTACAGTAGCTAAAATCCCCAAAATTTCCAAAATTTTGAAAAGCCCTAAACTAAAAAATACCCAAATTCAACTGGGTAGAGAAACCATCTCTTCAAAACCCTTTTGAAATAGATTCCCAAAACTGAATTTTAAAAAATTCCAAAACCCCAAAATCCTTCACTCGTAAACCCCAAAATCCAAAAAAACATAACTTTAATTACAAAATAGATCTTGTATTGTAAATACTAATCAAAAACCGTAAATTTTGTATTGATAATTCTGTGTAAGTAGGGTTCCTTGAAGATCTAAACCCAATTTTTTCGTACGATAAAACCCCCAAAAAATCCTAACCCTAAATTAAGCGAAAATTTCAAAACCTACCTTTGTTGACACCAAGTTCTCTTAAAATTGCTTCAAAGACATCTATGATGTGTTGAATCGCAGGGGATAAGTTGAATAACAGGGGAAGAGTTAAAGTTTCTCCCTTCTGTTTTGCTGAACGTGCTTGATATTTTTGTCCCAAATTACAAAGTCTATAAATGGCTACTTCTATCAAATAAAAGAAAGGGTAAAAATATAATTACACAGCAGAAACTAACGCCGTTAGATATGTGAGAGTTGACTGTTAAGTTGAGGGGGTGTTTTGTCGCATTTCATAGTTCATGGATAAATGCGACAGTGGTGATAGTATAGGGGTGCAAACTGTATTTAGCCCTTAAATTTATTTGTCTCCGCTTCGCAGGTGATTTTCGATTTTGGTTTCGAAGTAGTTGGTAGTTTGGCCGCCCGCTTCTGTTCCGGTCGAACGATTCCGGTGTTGCAGCTGGTTGACGGTAGATTATCCCAGTTCTGCTACAAGAAGATTTAAGGCGAGTTCTCCAATGGGTTTAATCTCTTCTTTTATCCATATAGATTAAGGATTGAGAAATGTAGCATTTATTTGGGAACAAATATTTTATCTTTTCCTTGGGAAAAAGTAGTACATTACCTCATTCTTGGTTGGAAAATATTTAACACTCGGCTTATAAATCCTTGCGTCAAACTTCATTTTTTCTATTTTCATGAGTGAACAAATCTCACTTTTTTTCCACTAATAAATACACTACTGCAATATTGTTTTTCAGAAAAAAAAAATATATATTTATATTAATAAAAATTGTTTTCTATGAGGTCAATTACTAATCTACTAAGGGTTTTGGAATATATACTTGATATATGGCGAGAGTTATTGGGAAATGGGGATACATTACCTAAGGGTTTTGAAAAAGTATAAAAGAAAATTAAGGGTAGTTTTGGAATTATAAAAATATTACATCGGTGGAATATTAGGTATGGGTGTTTTCTTTAATTATTTTTGGAAGTGGGTGTTTCCTTAACTATATTTCCTAAATTGGGGGTTTTCTCTAATTTTCCCTTATTAAAATATAAAAATCCGATTTTTTGATAACCCCACGCGAATTTAGGGCTGGGCTGATATAAAAATTAAAAAAGGGGCCACCATTTTTCATTCTTAAACCCTAACAATACGTAAAATTTCATTAAACCCAAGCATAATGGAAAAAAAGTTTCTCCGGTGATAAACCGCTCAAAATCTTGACGAACAGGTTGATTGGAGCAGTACGAACCTATACATACACGTGATCATCTTCTAAGAACTCGTTGCAATTTCCTTTTTGTATCTGTATTTTATTTTGAAACCCTAATTGCCCCCCATCTCTCTCCTCGTCTTTCTTCAGCCTCCCCCTCATAACTCTGCTCTCTTTTTTTCCACCACCATCACCAGCGCCGCCCTATTCTCCGATCGACGACCACTACCAGCGCCGCCCGTGCTCTCCACCCACGTTCGTATGATTTAAGACTTTAATCGTTTTTTAATGTTGTTTTTGAAGAATATTTGTTTGGGTTGTTTTTCAATTCGGCTATTGTTGGGTCTGTTGCTTTGAACAATATTTGTTTTGAGTTTTTTTTTTCCAATCTTCTGCTACTGTGTCGGTGGCAGTGAAGGACTATTTTTTTTTTCTCAAAAAAGTCTGAAAATTCCCGAAAAAAATCAGAATCGGAATCGATTCTTGAATTCCTAAAAATTTGGAATTGGAATCGGCATTTTGGACTTCCGAAAAAATAACGGAATTTTTCCGAAACACCCAAATCTGATCCGATCCGTCCGATCTCCACCCCTACACGTGATCATCTTCTAAGAACTCGTTGCAATTTCCTTTTTGTATCTGTATTTTATTTTGTCGATTGCTTAAAAGTCGTGAAAACCGATTCTTTCCTTTGATCATTTGCTGTCATTCATGAATTTTCGGTAAATAATTGCAGAAACTTGCAGAAATTTGTTGAAATCAATTGTCCTTTGATGAAGTTTTAGGCTAGATGGCTTTTATAAACTGATTGCTTAAGCCAATTAGTAAGTGAGTGATAACAATTTGGAGAGAATATTTCATACATATACTCTTGGAATTTTGTTATGTAGGCGATTATTGTGAATTTATGTGAATTAATATTGTGAAAACTGGAAAATACGAAGATTAAGTTTCTAACTACGCACACTGGTGTATTCTGATTGTGTGGTTTTATAAATTTGATCTGATTAGTTTTTATGGTGGTTTTGCAGGACGGGATGAAGAAGTCCGGAACCATACAGTTCACCAAGAGACCGTATGTTGAAGATGTTGGTCCTCGAAGGATGTAAGTACAGTTGCTTAATGCAATTGATTATACTAAAACCACTTGAAGGTGTAAATAAGATGTATCAATGTACACTAGTAAAAAATGTAATAGATGACAACCAATTGATTATGAGTAAGAGGTTCTAAGTTGCATATAGCATAATTCTTGATTGAATCGACAAATTCCTTTGATATTGACTGGACAACTTGCTGGACACTTTATTATTTTGTTATACTTATAGCCATTTCTTTTTAGCAGCATGAGCTACTTTGGTGTTTACATGAGTGATGATTCAATTTAGAACCAAGAATCGTAAAAGGTTTATTTTGTTTTGGAATTATACGCTTGTTCAAATATACTTGCCATTTTCCAGAGAAAGCATTCAATTTTCTACATTCTCCGCCGCCGAAGTACTAAAAGCTGGCGAAGTTGAAGTTAATAAGATTGCGTATTATGATGAAAATAGAAAGCCTATAGACAACGGTCTGTTAGACCTCCGCATGGTAATGTTTCTCTTTTCCCTTTCCTTATTGAGTTATTGTTTTTGTGTTATTATTGGGATTGATGAATGATAGCTCCTTGGTCCATAAACTGAATATATGAAACCGGCAAGAGTCATGTCGTATATTGCCCTTTGTCAGGCCTAAATTTGAAAACAAAACAAAACTTTTTATATATATATTTGATTATACTTTGGCTATTCTTTGACCGGCAGATTCAGATTAAAAACAGTTGAGAAAGGTATAAGAATTCTTCAAAATTTTAGCATTTTAAGAAATCATTATACAAAGGGAAATATAGCTTTAATGTTTGTCCTCATGAAGTTGCAGTTCCACTTTGATGTCCAAAAGAGTGAATTATACAATAAGCTTAGGGAGGATGATTATGCGACTAGCTAAAACAGGATTACAGTTTGGCAGGATAAGCTAGAATACGTGTCTCTGTCAAATGAGCCCTTTGGTTATGTATCCGTTCAAGAGCAAGTAACAATTTTGTAAGTTGAGGAAGATAACAAAAATTTAGTAGAACACATCAACAACTAGAGTTCTACCTTACTGGCCACTTCCTTAATATATTCCAATTCAATAAATAACATCTTTAGAAATAAATGTATTTAGCACTTGAATCTCCACCTATGGGAAGGGGCGATCAGAGGGTGTACGGTAAAAAAATGGGCGTAAAGCAATGTATTTAGTATTATTGTATTTTAACTGAACTCTGTTTATTCTTAACCAGTTCTATATAATGAAATTCATCTGTTACTGAACGGGGTCTAAATTAAACATTAAGATCATATAATCGTTTTTGGGGCGTTTTGCTTAGTTCATGGTCCAGTACTATAGTTTGTTATATGTTAATTATTGTTTTCAGGGGCCAGCAAACAAGAGCATCCTTTGTAAAACTTGCGGTGGAAAATTTGCCGAATGCCCGGGCCATTATGGATATTTGCCTCTTGCTCTTCCCGTATACAATGTGGGATTTTTCCTTACCATAATAGATATTTTGAAGTGCATCTGCAAGGTACCAAAATTTGTTTTTCTTCTTATCAGTCTTAAGTTGGAAATACACTCTTTAACTTTTTTATCATAAATAATCTGGAATAATACTCACGACGGTTGCCTTTTATTTAAAGCTATGGATGCCTATGCTGTGGAGATTTAATCACTGAATATGGTAAATGACTTTTATAAGATTTTTTTTTTCAAAATGGGAAGGAGATGACATTCATATATGACTTCATATTCAGACATTTAATAAATCACTCTAGTCTAGAAAAGTTTTTTTTGAAAGGTAAGTGCTTTCTGCAAAAGTTACTTTGCATATTAAGAAAATTACCTATGAGTACGACTAATCATATTGAGACATGATAATAAATATCTGAATTCCAAAGGAAAATTCAATATCTGTGTAGAGGTAAGTGCTTTCTGTAGTCAATTAGATACAGTTCTTATCCATTCTTCCCTTCATCTCATATTGTCTCGTATATCCTTTTAAGCTGCTATTATTGTTGCTCATAATGGTACAAATAACTATCCTTATGTGATTATTACTATTACCATCTTATTCTTCATCTTATTCCTCCTTATCCTCTTCATCATCATCAATATTATATGTACATGAAGAGATGATAGCTGGTCTTTGTCCTGTGATGATTCTGATTGTTGAAGATTCATTTTTTTATTTTCTTATTTGTTTTCTTTAACAGAATTGCTCCAGAGTTCTTCTTGCGGATAAAGATCATCAAGTTTTTTTAAAGCAGATGAGAAATCCTAAATGTGAGACGCTGAAGAAAATTGAAATACAGAAAAGAGTGGTGAAGAAGTGTAATAGCCTGGCAGGAAGTAAGAGGGCTGTAAAGTGCTCCAGATGTGGATATATAAATGGTTAGTCAAAACATATAAAAAATGCATTACTGTTTATTTTTTCCCTGAAAATACATAAAGATAATTTATATATGAACAAAACACGTATATGTATGTATAAATATATATATATATATATATATATATATATATATATATATATATATATATATATATATATATATGTATATATATATATATATTTGTAAATATACACCTACATTTATAATGTTTTCCCCGTACACATTTCCATGTTTCTCTGTGTCCGTGTTCCCGTGTCTATTTGCTTTATTATATTGGTGATTCACTTGTTGAATTTAATTTCTTTTTTTTCATTAATGTTAGATATTAGATTTATAACCTATGTGAAATTTTGAGTCTTTTGCAGTATAGCATGCTTGTATCTTCTACCATCGGGTTTTTACAAACCTGTGTTTTGGGAATTCTTTCGGATTGGGATGTTGGCATAGATTCTCTATCCTTGAGCTTTAACCATCTTTACTATGTGATAAGCCAAGGTGGCAGCATCAGTCTTTGTTGTGGGGTCGTCCAGGAGTTGGACCTTGGAAAATACATGATACATCTTTCAGCTATAATTGCAATTTGCGTGGTATTTTCCATGAATATTATAGGAATTTTTCTTGAAGGAAAGGAGAAAACAGTGATTTTGTTGAAGAAATAGTTTTTGGTTTCTCTTCTTAGAGGATATAATCACATATATGATCTACATATTTTCCCCTATAACTGTGAGCAACTACTGGATGGCTATGAAACTAAATATTCAGAAAGGTGGAACATGTTGCCTCTTTTGTGCTTATGATAACTTTCAAAATACTTCTGCTCCTTAAAAAAGATCAGCATTACCGCTTTCCTTGGTTCTTTTCTGCTTGTCACGTTCTTTCTTGACGGGGAATTTTGAACACTTATTTTGTTTTAGGGATGGTAAAAAAGGCAAAAGAACCTTTAAAGATTCAGCATGATCGTGCCAAAGTTGTTGACAATTGCTTGGATGAACGTCGATCTGCTCTTGCCCACACAAAGGACTTCAAAGGAAATTCCATGGTTATTTCTACAATTGACCCTAAAACAGCCTACCATCTACTAGAAAATATGTTGGATGAGGTATTCTTTCCCCTCGATCTCTTGATTTCATGGTTGTATGAGAAAAGCTTTTCAAGAATATTTGGCCCTTTTTACACCCCTCGGTTATAAACTCATGGTCTACTTAGAATGTCATCTTGGGTGAATTAAAATCACTTCCGTGGTAACTGGTGAGGATAAATTACGAAAAAATCCCACTTATCTGCGTAATTACATTTACCCTGAGCTGTCACGTGCCTAAAATTTTCCCCTTGATGGTGGTTATGAACACTAGCACAATCTTTTAGATCCCGTGAATATCAATCCAAACAAATTTTATCCTTGTAACTGTCAGAGGTCTAATTGATTTTTTAGTTATTAGGGGTTAATTTTAATATAATTTTTTATGATGTAGAATTTGACTTTCTTTTAGCCAGTTTAATACTACTTCGTTGCTTATTTTTATTGTCACTTCAATTGCTTTTTCTCTATCACATTTTCATGACATTCTCTAATAGCATATCTCAAATTAGTAATAAAAACTAAAAAGAAAAAACTGTAAGGTGCCTGTTAAACTTTGTTTCCATGAAAATGGTCATCGTATACAATACTATACATCAAGAGATGTACATGTGGGTTTATCTCTGAACCTTCTAAGTTTTGTTTCGGAAAATAGGATTTCAAGAACTCTTTTGTTGCGAAAAAAACTCTCTTTTCTTTAATAATAACACAAAGGTATGACAAACAAATCACTGTTAAGATATTTTCACAAATTTGTTTTTTTAATCCGGAGGCAATTTAGATACTACACGATCTCCGTTAAAAGGTTTGTGACATAATGTTTGTTTTTATAAATGGCCAACAACCCTGAATGACATACTGGCTTATCTGAAGAGTATTAGTATCTAAATGTTTGTTTTTTCTTTTCCCTTCATAAACTGGCTTATCTGAAGAGTTGTTTGTAATTTACCGTATTATCTTGGATATATTTATTTACAATGATTCTTAGTTTTTGTGTTCTTGTTTCCTTTTGCCTTTCATTTTTGTTTACAGGATTGTGAGTTGCTCTATCTACATGATAGACCAGAGAAACTTATTGTCACAAATATTCTTGTGCCGCCAATAGCTATACGCCCTTCGGTTTTTAGTACAAGAGCAATGAGGTATCCCGAGAAGAATTACACACTCTACCTTGCTATTTTGCTTCCGTTAATGTTTGTATGCTTTGTTCAAATGTTAAGATCTTAATGTTAAAAAAAACTTTCTAAGATTGGAAATAACCTGAGGCTAAAGTTATATGCAACGTGAGTGGAATTACATGATAGTCGTGGTTATACTAATGTATGTTCCCCATCAGGAAGTGAGTATACTTTTGGTACACATAGATACAGTGCCTGTAATCAGCATGAGGAGTTCAGTTATATTTTTGCCTGTGCTTTGACTTTTTTGTCCTTTTGTGTTTCACTATCGTAAACTTAGAAAAAAATTATATGTGAAGGAGTAGCTCATATTATGGATATGTTCGAGTAACCTAAGGACCTGGAATTTAGTAAAGATCTGGTGATACCCAAGAAAAGAATCAGTGGAACCAACAAATTTCGTAACTGATTTTGAAATTTTAGCGAGAAATGCCTTCTATGGTTCTAACCTCCTAAATATCAGCAGTTGCCTTCCTTCTATGTTGCCTGTTAAATAACTTCAAACACCAGTAATTATGCTGAGTACAAAATAAATTTTGTAGCTGAGTCCATCCTCTTGGTTATGTAGAGGCATGTAGCCATTGAATCAGAACCAAGTGTGAACGATTCTTTATTGAAGTTTGCAAAGAGCTGCATAGGTCAGCTTTGTCAGGACCAAGAAAACCTACACTGGACTGCCTTGATATCTCTGTTCTACCATGATATTGTTCTGTTTTGATTTTTTTCATTTCCTTTTTTGGTGGTGCAGCAATGAGAATGACATTACATCGAGGCTAAAACAAATCATTCAGATAAATGCTGCAGTTCTACAAGAAATGTCAGATCAAAGCTCTCAGAGCCAGAGCCTGGTATGATATTGTTTGACTTGGTTTTTCATTGTGGTATTTCTTTTGGAAGTTACGTATTTCTGTTTGTTTGAAACAATAATGGGTTCTTCTATAGCATTATCCTTTATTTTCTAAGTTTTGCTTGTCTCTGGTTTTGGAAACTAAACTTCAAGCATGAGGCATAAGCGGAAAATATATTGTGCAATCTAATAATGCGGCTAGAATCTAGATAGGTTTAATGAGATTTTGAGTACCCAAGGCTTTATTGGTGTATAAAGGGGCCAACAGAAATGCAGTGACGCATAATATCAAACTTGTTATACTTCTGTATACCAACTTTACTTGGGTCATGTAAGCATTCTGCTTTTGGAAACACACTCAATTAGATTGCCAATTAATTATCTCTTGCAGATAATAGTTTAGACTCTAAATCTAACGATGCATATTATTTGAATTAAGTTTGAAATTTTAGTTTTTTGTATTTTTGATTGGCCTATCGAAGTTTACTAGAACTCCATTTATTGGTCTATGTTTCATATTGTACTTGTTGATATAGTTTAAGACTGTTGTCTTGTGGCTGTTGATACATTTATGAAGATTAATATTTTGAGTCCTAGACAAGTTTGGATGTCTAAGGAGTAAGGACAACCTTTTTTTTTTTTTTTTGATAGGAAGTAAGGACAACTTTACAAGGTCCAAATTTTTTGTATATTTGTTCTGAATAATGGTGACCTGGACTGGAAACAGTTTACAATTCCTCCAGTTGAATCCAAAGTGGTCGACGTTTCTCTGTATAGATATGGTGTGACATGGAGATTTCTTGACTGCTTGGTTGTTTTCAATTCAAATGGAAACATAAATTTTAATGGAGATTAGAGAGTCCTCTGGGTTTAGAAAGAATAGATGAATAATGAATTTCAAATTATTATCTTTGCTTTGTGATCGGGCTCAGTTTTAGAAATCTTACTAATAACAAAAGATCGATGGGTGCACTGCATAGTGTAAAACCTGCATAGTTTGTGTCTCTTTTCCTGTGTACATTTTTTTGGTTCCTATTATCCCTGTTATCCCTGTACTGGGCTGACTTTAGAACCATGATAGTCCTTTCCGAGATAATCCTTTGTTCCAAGTTCATCCTGCAGAGCTGTTAAAAATATTATTACTCTTCCATCCTTTTCTTAGTCATAAAATTGGGTTTACTGTTGGTATCTCGATAATTGGGTGTTGATGCGTTGTGAGTAACTCCATAAATGCAGTAGTGCTTTATTGCATGTTACTGAAACATGAGTAAAGGATATTTATGATTGTAGAACTAACCTTACTAATATTTGTGCGGTTATTATGAATTAGTCAACCCGTTTTTGAATATGTCTCATTCTTACAAAGTGTATTTATCATAAAATGTGGGCTAGACGAATAACTGGGATTCTCTACAAGTGGAGGTTGCACAATACATCAACAGTGATGTCCGTGTCCCATTGCAATATTCTGAAAACACCAAGCCATTGAGTGGTTTTGTTCAGCGCCTCAAAGGAAAGCATGGAAGGTTCCGTGGTAATTTGTCAGGGAAACGTGTAGAGTTCACTGGCAGGACTGTTATATCTCCCGACCCAAATCTGAAGATTAACGAGGTCAGGCTTTCTACTTATCTATAAAACCCAAGCTATTCACCTTGTTTTGACCATTTTTTTTTTCCGCGACAGGTTGCTGTTCCTATCCTAATGGCTCAAATTTTATCTTATCCTGAGCGTGTTTCACATCATAATATAGAGAGATTGCGGCAATGTGTTCGTAATGGCCCGACTAAATATCCAGGGGCCAAGTTTATAAAGCATCCTGATGGCACAGAGATGTAAATGTTGGATATTTGTACATAAAATAAAATTGCATTGTGCTCAATTCTTACTTGTCTTCAATTGGTATGTTGTTGCAGATCATTAACGAGTAAAGTCAGACATCGCCATGCAGATGACTTGAAGTACGGTTACATTGTTTGTCGTCATCTTCAAGATGGAGATATTATTTTATTCAACAGACAACCAAGTTTGCATCGAATGTCAATCATGTCTCATCGGGTACTTGCTGCATTTGAAACATATATGTTGAAATTGGTATTAGATATTGTCATTTGCCTCATCATTTTTCTCTTCTTCAGGCAAGGATTATGCCATGGCGCACGCTGAGATTTAACGAGTCAGTTTGCAACCCATATAATGCTGATTTTGATGGCGATGAGATGAATATGCATGTACCGCAAACAGAAGAGGCTCGGACAGAGGCTCTGATGTTGATGGGGGTAAACAATGTTTCCATTTTATTATCTTTTGGCTTTAGCTATTTCATCTGTTTTCCGTTAATAATATGTATATTCATGTGGTTTTGACTTAGATATATTATTTGATCATGGTTATTGTCATCCTTGCCGCACTTCATCAATCTTGGATGGATCACATAGTTCTTGCCACAATCTACTTGTTTGTTGTTTCATTTATGTGCAATGAAAGCATGTTGTCATGTATTAAGCACCCATACAGAGTAAGTTAACTGTGTCTCAACTAGTTCTTCATGAGATGGCCAAATATAAGTGAAATAGGAGAATGAGTTCCCTGTTTCTCCGTGAAACTATTCTTTAGGGAGGAGGGTGGAAACATGATTTAGGCAACTTATCCAAGCGTTGTTGAAGAATGAGTCGTTGTAATGTCTGAACTTGATTTAAGGCAAGGAGTTCTTATGATGTCTGATATCTGGAATATTTCACACGCAGTTGATCTTTACTCTTTTGTTATAACTCGAGTGATTTACATAGAATAACAATCATAATGCTACGTAGAATTGTCCAAAATCATTTGGTGGTAGTATTACATTATGGTACAATATTTAGATAATTCTTCCATTTATTCTCTTTCAATTTAGGGCTGAATTTTATATAATTTTTTCCTCATCAGATTGTGATTGGTTAAATAGTACATTTGCATGTGGACAAAAGTTTAGACTGTAATGACCACATAGTAATGTGTCAATGGTTTTGACTTCTCATTGTTGGTGATACAACTACAGGTGCAAAACAATTTATGCACCCCAAAGAATGGAGAAATCTTGGTGGCTTCAACCCAGGATTTTTTGACATCATCCTACCTTATAACAAGGAAAGACACCTTTTATGACCGTGCTTCTTTTTCTCTTATATGCTCATACATGGGTGATGCGATGGACCCGATTGATTTGCCAACACCAGCACTAGTTAAGGTGAGTTCAGGCAGCATGCACATTCTAGTGCTACAAAAGTTTTTGATCTTTGCTCTTGTACCCATCCATATATGGGTGTGCTTTAGTTCCTTCTTGCTGTCTTTTGTGTATAACTTTCTGCACCTCTATTTGTTATCTTCTTCTCTGTCCTCTCTGTTATCGGGGCTTGTGTACACAGTGTCATACACTTCTACTGAATCGGTAATGCACTCTGTGATATGAGTAGGCTTGTGTGCTTCACTGTCGTCATACACAATTTATAGGTCATGCACGAGCCCAATATTTTATTTATTCACATCCTTATGTGTATCTGTCTTTCTATACACATATATTTCATCATGTATTGGTTCATCTTGATGTCAAAGCATATATGTTTTCGTTAGTACCTCGTCTTTATGCTAGAATGTGTACCTGTTTCTTCACGAGATCTAGGGGTTTTAGTCCCAAATCAAGGCATGAACCAAACTGGTTTTACTAACCCTATGGTATCACTTTCTTCTGAAGTCTGGCCGTACATGATGGGTTGAACAAGAACCATCCATTTGTTGCCGATTGATGTAATTCTTACCCTAGATGAAGTGCTATGTTGCATTTTGTGACATCTTTTTCCATATGCTGGAGCCACCTCCACACCAATAACTAGTGATCTGTTGTGGACTGTGGTTCTGCAATGATGGAGGAGGGGGTTGGTTATGATGCCCCAGCCATGTGGCTCATTGAGGGCAGAAGCAACAAAAGATCATTCAAAATCAGGGGTGATAAGTTAACACCGTTTCCATCCTTGTTTGATAAGTCGTACTTTTCTGAGAAAAGAAGAATAGGATGGTGTACAGCACAGCACGTCTATACATAGTAATGGTCCTATGCAACCCTGGTAACATTTAGAAAAGTAGCGTAATAAATGCTTGAGAGCTGTAAAATAATTTTCTTATTTTAAAAATACTCCAAAGCAAGTAAGGGCATTCTGGTTATAACTAGAAGCTCTTCTATCCTCAGAAGAGTTTTGATGGCCTTAACCTCTTTATTGCATGTATTTGAAGCACGATAGGCTAGTGTTCTTTTTGATAATTGTAGTGTTTCTGAGCATACACCAATGTCACAAGTGGTTGATGTTAATGAACCACATTCTTCTCGATGTCAGAACCTTTTGTGATTAGCCTTGTATCCTACTGTGGGGATCCTACTGTGGGGATTGTGATATATCCCATTCTAATGTTGATTTTGGTATCTGTGACCTAATCTAATATCTATTATCTTTTCATTGCAGCCAGTGGAGCTTTGGACTGGTAAACAGTTGTTTAGTATACTATTGCGCCCCCATGCAAAAATGAGAGTATATGTAAATCTTACAGTGGCAGAAAAGAACTATGGGAAATCTGGAGAGACGATGTGCCCGAAGGATGGGTTTGTTTATATCCGCAATAGTGAGCTAATTAGCGGGCAACTTGGGAAGGCTACATTAGGTTACTCTAATTTCTATGCTTTTGCTATTTGTCCGAATGGCAGTTTTATTAGACTTTTGCGATTCCAGATATGGTTACTGAGTGATTTATTCTGTATTCTGCTGGAAGATCATTTGCTTATTCATTCAATGTGAAAACAGGAAATGGGAGTAAGGATGGTCTTTACTCCGTTCTTCTCAGGGACTACAGTGCACATGCGGCTGCTACTTGCATGAATCGCTTGGCTAAGTTAAGGTGAGACCAGTGCAACTCTAGTTCAAGTGCATGGACTATTTTATTCTCTTTGCTGGTGCCAGTTAACTAGTAAAACTCGATTAAATATCATATGATTTTATGAAATCTATAGGGGTTCTTACACTTGTCCTGTAAAATGGGTTTAACGTGAAGAAGATACTCATTCTGTCTCAAACGTTCTCAGCTAGAAGCTGATGAATAAATTATAATACCTAATCTTGTTCCTTTTGGGATCCTCATTTTTGTTCCTCTGTACAATAAAAGTAAGACATAAGAAATGTTAATTTTCCTAATAGCTGAATGTTGAAACAAAATATTTATGTAGTTGATGCTGAGTTGGATTTAATATTGAAGAAGGTAACTGATTCTATAATTAGAAGTGGGCCTTTCAACTGCACGATGAACTTATGTTTGTGTTTTCATGTCATTAAGTGATGTGGGTAGGATAAATGCATATATGTGTGTGTGTGTGTGTGTGTTTATGCATCGATGAGATGTGTTCTTGATATTTTGTTTTTTCGAAGAAAATAAAGATTCTGAAGTTTGCTGCAGTTCGGTTATGATTTTTTTTTATTTTTATTTTTCTTACATTACAGTGCTCGCTGGATTGGAAATCATGGATTCTCAATTGGAATCAATGATGTTCAACCTGGAATTGTACTAAACAAGGAGAAGAAGGTGACAATCGATAAGGGTTATGGCCAGTGTATTGACTATATAGGCAGTTATAAATCTGGAAGTCTAGACCTGCTACCAGGCTGCAATAACGCTGAGACTCTTGAAGCTAATATAACTGGAACCCTAAATAACATTCGAGAAAGAACTGCAAATGTAAGAGGCCGTCTCTTTTCTTATAGTATGACTATTAATTTGGTGACACTACATGATTTCTAAATTCTTTTTGTACTATTATATGTCGATGATTCTGGTGGCTCATCTTGCTCTTGTAAGTCCAGAAACCAGTATATGACATTGCAGATTTTGCCTGGATTAGTTGCTAACGGAATTTCTGCCGATTATATAAAACTCCCAACTCTTTGCCGATTTGACCCCCCTTATTAAATTTTGCTTTTCCAGTCCCTTTTTCGGTTGCAACATCTAGAAACCATGATCCTTAAACTTGATCATGGTGTGCATCTTTGTTTTGGACTGTTAGGATGTAAGATTTTGCGAGCAACGTAATAAAGAAGCATCCTAACTTGGGTAAGAGGATATATCTGGTTGTCTTTTGTGACTATTAATCTAGTATTAAAGAGATTTTGGAATTCTTCTTTGTGAATTTGGAAATTGTTATGAATTACTTAATTATAGGATTAAGTTTAGGGATAATAGTAGGTTTTGATAGACAGCTTATGGCTGAAAATCAGTCATATTAATTGCATATATTTTCCTAGTCATATATTTTCGATGAGAGTTGTATATGTTTTCCTTTCGGGTGCATTTCCGATGGGAGGATTTGGGGGAGGGATTTCAAATCCATAATAACAAATCCATCGAGTTTGTTGGGACTGAGTAGTTTAACAAGAAATTTCAAACCCAAAGCTCCGATGTTCTGTTTTTGGAGAAATTGTGGTGGATTCAAATTCATCTTATTTGGAGTCGTTTCAAATCCTTCAATCCAAATGCACCCTTTCTGTATCCCTTAATTTGTATATAAACCCCCTTCTAGGTTGAGGGAACGATCAAGCTGAGTTAAACGATTATCTTTCTTTTTTCTTTAACACTAATTTTTTTTCTTTAAACGACTATCAAGCTGAGAATAGAAAATGGAGTAGTTCAGATTTTTTGACAAATATACATGTATAATCAAGATTAATGTCAACGAAGTTTTATTGGCTACTATATTTTTTGTGGTCTCTTAAATTCTATTCCTCAAGGTTGCTGGTGTCTTGGTTTATGTTCCTCAAGGTTGCTCTGACTCCCAAATTTCCCAATTGGTTGGACCTGGACCATATCGCCTTTGTACATCTTATGTTCTGTACATTTTGGGTATCAGGAAATGATCTGGATGTGTTTTTTGTCATGAATATTTTATGTCAACCCTGTTAATATTTTACTTGGTTTATCCGTCTATTACGTCTGATCTATTTACTTCTTATGGGACTTTTATTCCTGAACATTGGAAACCAAGCCATACCCAGGATAGCATGGTCTATGAGCCCAATATCTGGATAAATTCTTGGTTCAGCTATTTTTTCTCTTACTGTTCTGGTACAAACTTATACCCGTAATTTAGCTCATGGAATTTGGGTAATATTTATTACCTCAGGGCGGTGTTTTTCTTTTTTGTGATTTCTCTATATTTGTAGCTGGCTCAAATGACAAAGTTTATTTTTCTCTTCATCTGCTCCCCACCTTGAACTTTATCATGCACATTTGTTTTGTACAAGATTGAACTGATCTGTGTTTAAACCTTCAATGTTATAATTCCTGTAGAAAATCTTGTACTTGTTTAATTGTTTAACCGGCGTGTTAATTTTAAAATCTAACATTCTCGTTGGATAATTTTAAAATCTAACGTATTCATCATCTTAAATTGTTTTGGTAGGTTTGCATGAATAATTTACATTGGAGGAATAGCCCCCTAATCATGTCACAGTGTGGTTCCAAAGGATCTCCCATTAATATCGCACAGATGGTTGCATGCGTCGGTCAACAATCTGTCGGAGGTCGTAGAGCACCAAATGGATTCGTTGATCGAACTCTGCCTCATTTTGAAAGAGAAGCGAAGGACCCAGACGTATGTTACTGCCTTATTTTCTTATTTTTTGGTAAACTTTATATGTGCTTTTTGATTGAGTAGATTGTTGCTCTCTGGTTAAACAGCTATCACTTGTTCAAAAATGTCACTATATTAGAGACTTGGGGGTTAGATTGCATAGACCCTACACATTTTCTGATATAATGAAGGGAAGATACATTTAAGTGAAGTTTCAAGCAACATACATGCCTGCATCGAACCAATGACACCCAGTAAATGGTATTTTGATACTCAAATGCTTGCATTTGTAGAATCCTATGGGAAGAAACCCTTAAAAAACTATTGACTCAAAATACATGCAGTCCTTTTTCCACTCGAGGCCTCTATACCTATTTCTCAAAACACTAAATATTCTCATGATTTTCAATCTCCTAGGTGAAGATGAAATCTATGCATGAAGCCCCTTAAATGAAATTGGAATCTCTTAAATTATTTGCATCCGCGAAAATATGAATTTTTTCACTGACATCTAATTGAGATTTTACATTATTGCAGATAGAGATAGACTGCTTGAGTTTGGTCTTAAGAATAATTATCAAGTATTTTGATAGTGGTACTATGATGGTCTATGAAGTAGGTTGAGTTCAATTACTATTTTATTTGGTGTTCACTCTTAAATCAGTTAGATTATTGGGCAAATAGGATGTTTCAAATGTTGAGCTCATCCAATTTCTAGCATTGCATTAAAATTTGACACGTTCTTTGTTAAACTCAACTTGTCCTATTTATTATTAATTTGAACTATCGTTATGGGAAACAAATGTGTCTTTTGATATTCAAACTGAAAACTGCAGGCCCTAGGATTTAGTTCAGTACAATCTGGCAAATAGACATATTTATATGACATAAACCTTTTTAGGACTCAACGTAGGCTATGGTGCTATACCCTTTCATGAATAATTTGACTTAATATCAGATATGATAGACATCTTCGTACTTGCTTGTCCAATTTTTTGCTGCTTTCCTCTTATCTTCGTCTGTTGGAAGAACTCTGTAAGAAGTAGATACCACCAATAATTAAATTAGCCGTTTTCGTTGGTTCCAATCTGGCATTTTTAGGTTTCTGCTTATCCTTTGTATGTTCATTTATGATCAACTTGGAAAGTATATACACTAACATGTTAATATCATGTTTGCATTTTCAATTCAGGCTAAAGGCTTCGTTCAGAATTCTTTTTACACTGGCTTATCTGCTACTGAATTTTTTTTCCACACCATGGGAGGAAGAGAAGGCCTTGTGGATACAGCGGTATGTATAATTTTCTGTTTTTCTAGATTTGGTTTTGAACAGATTACCAAATTACCGTCTCCCACTATTGTCCCACTACTAGGGTCCTTGAGTTAACTGCGGCACTGCACATACGCTTGTTAACGGATTTTGTACTTTAATTAATCATGTTTTGTAAACAAAATAGGAATAAGAAGCCTTAATTGATGATATGATCCGTGACAAGAAAAAAACCGCTGACAATTTCATTGCAGGTTAAAACTGCTGACACAGGGTATATGGCTCGTAGACTTATGAAAGCTTTAGAGGACCTCTCAGTTCATTATGACGGCACAGTGAGAAATGCTAGTGTTTGCATTGTTCAATTTGTGTATGGGGGTGATGCTATGGATCCTGGACAGATGGAAGAAAAAAGTGGACTTCCGTTGAACTTTGAAAGATTGTTTATGAAAGCAAAGGTATTAGTATCTTTCTTTGCCTCCTCTTTTAAAGACATATAATTCACTGTATTATTGCAGCAGCAGTTGATAAAGTAATTTTTCATTGTTATCTTGAAAGGCCACCTGCCCTGCAGTAGAGCAAAAGAGTCTAAGTATTGAAGAAATCGACAAAACAATGGACGAGATAATTGGGGATCGACTCTCAGAATCGACTGGGACTCCTGAAGGGGAGAGCTCACAGGCATTTTCTGCTTCATCAAATAAAGAGGGTGGCATGGAAACTTTTGATAACTCATTAAGAAAATTCATTCAGAAGAAATACCCAAACTCAGATCTCATGCTGAAGTTGAATGGAAAGGAACATCCCGATGAAGATAAAGGTTATTTGGAAAAAATTGCTTCAAATATATGTGGGGTTACCAGGCAGCAGCTAATGGTAATTTTCGTTTCCATGTTTTTACTCTTCCTGCAAGAGAGTTCTCACATTTGGTTTGAGTATAACTAATTGCATTGAGATTTTTACCAGAACAAAGGGGCAATTTAGTAGCCTAATTAGATTCTCCCATTTCTTGGATGTGCATTAAAGCTTTAAAGAACTGTTTACAGTAAAAGAACATTACTGTAAAGAGGACCCTTTGTTTTGGGCAAGACATGGCTGTAGGCTAACATAGCTTGCCACTTGATATAATAATAGTTATCAACTGAACTATGCGTATGTTTTAGTTGAACTTTTACAGTTTTACTGCTTATGTTTCTGTAGAAGAGCCAGTTAGACTAGTCTAACAATCATAATGCAGCTAATATTGCTTGGTTAGATACTTCAGTTAACCACTTCTCTCACTTCTGAGTTTATGTGCATCTGTGAGAGAAAGAAGGAGAGGAGAATGAGAAACAGCTGATGAAACAACACTGAATGTTTATTCATTTCGTTTAAATTCTACATTTATGCCATCTGCACAATCCTTGATTAATATGTTCTGATTTGTTACATGTACAGAGTTTGCCTAGAAAAAGCTCTAAATGTGATATCTGAAACTTACAGCAGAACTTATTGTATTATTGTTTTAGGTCTTCCTAGAAACCTGCATCTCTCGTTACAGTTTAAAGAAAATTGAAGGTGGGACCGCAATAGGTGCAATTGGAGCCCACAGTATAGGAGAGCCTGGGACACAGATGACACTAAAAACCTTCCATTTTGCTGGAGTTGCAAGCATGAGTATCCTTTTTTATATGATTATTCCCTGATTTTATCATGGTTTTCTGACCTTTTGTATATTACGTAATACTTAGTAGCTTCCGATATGTTTAACTTAATCTTGAATAGATGTTACCCTTGGTGTTCCGCGTATAAAGGAAATAATCAATGCTGCTAAAAAAATCAATACACCAATTATTACTACCGCACTGCAATCCGACAACAACGAGATAATTGCTAAGATAGTGAAGGGGCGTATTGAAAAAACACTTCTCGAGCAGGTAAGCCCCATATTTTTCAATTGAAAATCGTGCATTGAGTGCTAATGCTGGTTTTTAATCTGATTTTATACAATTTTCTGCTAGATTAAACAGTTTGTAGAGGCATATTTTAGAGCTTTCTTTTCAGGGATAAAATAGTTTGTTGTTATGGTATCTAAAATCAGTCTGCTCCATCACCTTTCAAATGCTTATTAAGTGGGATTTATTAAGGATTTTCTTCCTCTAATTTTTTGATAAGTTTATTTTGGCCTCTGGAATTTTGAAGTCAATATAATAGGATTGAGCTGATCTTTTAGTTGGCCATCTCTTTGTTGTGTAGGTAGCTAAGAGTATAAAGACTTCCCAAGCATCGAGATCCGCATCCATAGTTATAACACTTGACATGACAAAAATTCAAGGTGCACATCTGTCTGTTGACGCTTATACTGTGAAGGAATCAATTCTAAAAACTAAAAGAATGAAACTGAAGGAGCAGGTTCGATATCCCTATCATCTTCTCTTTACGTGTTTGTGTGCATGTGTGTGTGTCCGTTAATTGTTGATACTACTGCCTCTTCTGCTGCAGCAAGTCAAGGTCTTGGATCACAGAAAGCTGGAAATCGTCATGCACGCCGATAAAAAAAAACTTCAATTTGAACTCCACGGTCTTAAGAATAAGATCTCCAAAGTTGTTGTGAAGGTGAAACTGATGTGGAAGTTGAACTTGTGATATTGATGCCTTTTCATTTGATTTTGGTCTGGTGCTTCCATTAGTTGTTTAAGACTTAAATCTCTCTCCTTTTTCTTCATTTTTCCATGGGCATCTTCTCTGGATGGCAGGGGATCGACACTGTTGAACGTGCTATAATATTAAATGAAGCAAAGGAAAAAGATCCAAGTGCAAACAAAAAAATGAAGTTACTGGTAGAGGGGTAAGTTTCAATAAAATGCCTTGTGACTCTTAATTTGCTTTTTGTTAAGAGTCTGTAAAGGTTTACCTGTTTTCTCTTTTTTACCAAAATAATCACGGATATTTTGAGTCTAGCGAGCATTTCATGTTTTCACCCACTAGTTCCACATACTGTATTGATATTAGTTTTGTCCTCCTATTGGCATACGTTATTTTCGTAACACGAACAGTGTGACACATGCACTGATGCACAACATGACGGACACTGTTCCCCATCTATTTTGTGAGATGAAATGGTGCAGCGTATGGCTACACTTGTACTGAATTGATTATGATATTGAAAAAGCAATAGAAAAGGCTTACACTACTTCAGATAAATTGAATTTGTTAGCCTTGTCATGGTAAGAAAAAACATATCCACTATTAATCCTCTAATGTAAGATCAGTATATAGGAAAGCATCATTCGGAGTGAAAGAAATAAGATCTCCAAAATTGTTACCTTTGTAAGAGGACTTCACTTCATTTTGGAAAGGGACGAACGGGATCGTAAAGTACATTGCAGACATCTTTAATCCTTGTCCATTTTTTTGTTATTGGGCAATAATCGATATTATTATGGATGTTCTGTTTGACCTTCAGTTGATGAATTATGTTTCCTTGTGTTACCAGCAAAAGAGTAGTTTACCTATCGTTGCCTTTTCTCGTGTTATTAGTTTGATGATTATAATATATATTAGGAAGAAGACACTCCGTTTTGCCTATTTATTGCCTTCCCCTGCCTCTATTTGACCTTCTGGTTTGTTTCAAACAAATAAGCATCTTGTTCTAAATGGGTTACATTGTTTTTGGGGCGATTGGGTATAATTTCCTAGAAGAGATTGTCATTATAGTAATAGTTGCATTAAATGTTAGTTTGATATTTTATCGAGTTAATTGTGCATAATATTTGAAATGCAGGACTGGTCTTTTATCTGTCATGGGCATTGAAGGAGTTGAGGGTCGAAAGACGACGAGTAATCACATCATTGAAGTACAGCATACACTTGGAATCGAAGCTGCAAGAAAGAAAATTATTGATGAGATACAGTACACCATGTCAAGCCACGGCATGACCATTGACATACGTCACATGATGCTTCTCGCAGATCTTATGACATTTAAGGTCTATTTCATATTCTTCTACTTCCAGTTTTGCTTATTCGTGTGTACACACACACACACACACACACATAATTCTAACTTTGTTTCTGAAATTATTTTAAAATCACACAAGAAATATGGATAAAAGTGTGAAAGTAGAACGTCAAGATAATACTTATTTGATATACATAAAATCTTTTCCGTTTTCTCAGTTGATGGAAATTTCGAACTCAAATGTTTTTGCTCATTTATACTGTTGTGACATGTATATTTCAGGGTGAAGTGTTGGGAATAACGAGGTACGGTGTGCAGAAAATGAAGGACAGTGTACTAATGCTTGCTTCATTTGAGAGAACATCAGATCATCTTTTCAATGCTTCTGCACATGGGAAGGTCGATAAGATTGAAGGAGTTAGTGAATGCATTATTATGGGCATACCGGTCCAAATCGGCACAGGGATGCTTAAAGTTAGGCAAAGGTGCGTTACATAACTCGAGGAACTACACACATATATATATATATATATATATAATTTTATTATCCGTATGGTATAATTTAAAATTATTCTCGTTTTCTATATCTAGTTTTGATTATTTTTAAACTTAATGAGCAATATTACATATATATAATTTCTCATCCGTTGTAATGAACTTTTGCAGTGTGAAGCCGATAGAGTTGACTTACGGTCCAGATCCGATTATATCGTGAGAGTGAACTTTGTTGCTACATGGAGAATTTGGTTCTGAGCACGTGAGATGGTTCACTCTATCATATGTATGAAAATTGGCAAAGTTATAAATTAATGCTTTAACAGATATGTCCAGTAATTTGCTGGCGATGTTTTTTCTTCTTTTTTTTTCGGCAATACGAAACCGAATTCCTAGTCTAGAATACGAAACATGTGTTTTTCTTCTTTCTTTCGGCAATACGAAACCGAGTTCCTAGTCCAGAATACGAAACATACATACGTCTGCATTCACAATTTGAAGTGAAAGACGTCTTATCTACGTATGATTTAGGTATTTGTTTTGGATTAGAAAAAAAAAAGATTTAGGTATTTGCCAAGTTGTCATTTTACATTTCGAGAATCTAGAAATTCATTCCGATTCCAAATGTTATGAAAGATTTGGAAATTCGGAAATTTTAGAAATCTCGTAATCTTAACATTTTATTTTGGAAACCTTCATAAATTTTCAGAACACTTTCATAAAATCATAAAATTAAAACTACTATTATGGTAAACTCTAGTATTTTAGTAATAACTTTTATGATTTCAAATTACACTGAACACCAATTTTCAAATAACACAAAGTTATAATCACTCGAAATGATAGAGTCAAAACTAGGGAAGAAACTAACTAGAGTTTATTTACGTGAAAAATAGCAAAGTAAAGACAAACTATGATTAAATATTTAATTTATTTTACGCTAACTAACATAAATAAAGATTATATATATATATATATATATATATATAG